TAAATTTCCCACAAGCCAGTGAACATTCAAGATTTTTAGATATTTCCCCTCCTCAGTCTGGGAATTTTCCCTTCAGCCCTCTTTCCTCCTTCTCAAGACAATGCCCTCAGCCTTTGAAAACTGCATCCATTGTAAACAGCTCTGAATATTAACACAGCCCAGAGTCCTGTTGGCTTTTAAAAGACCCCCAGGGTTTCAAATTGCAGTCACTGAGGAGGGGGAAGGTCCCCAGTGAGTAAATGTCACCAAGCTCATTCAAAAGGAGATGAAAGTTAGGCTTGCTCATGAAACTTAAAGTCCTTCAACCTATGGGGTAAGTCAGAGGAATCCCTTTTAAGTTTTAAACAAATGAGGAAAAGGGAAAGGGGAAAAAAAAAAAAAAAAGACCCTGGTACAACCAACATCCTTTATTGCTTACAGCAACTTTCAATTCAATGAATCTCTTTTCTAGATTTCCCTCTCCTGTGGCTATTTTAAACACCTTCCACTCGGCCTTCCCATCTAACAGAACTGTGAAGCTGAAGCAGGTGCAGGACACTGGGCCAGGTGCATTGTTAAATCACACAAAACCCCAGTGCTCGCTCTTGCATTCCTACCCACCCTGAAAGAGAGGATGCTGAAAAGACTCCGCACCAAGGAGACACCTCAACAGAATGGGGGAGAGGCCCTTTCATTGTGAGCTTCGTGTCTGCGGGAGAGAAAGGTCAGCCAGAGGCCGAGCCGAAGTGCTCAGGGAAGCAGCATGGGGAACCCAGGCCGAGTAATTAACACTGGAGGGAGGGACCCTTTAAGCACCGGGTGCAGTGCTAGAGAGGCAGACAAGGGGACATCTCCAAGCCAGCTCTCATTACGGGACCCTGAATTTTCATCTTGAAGATGTCCTGGAGAAATTACTGTCGACAATACATTTTAAAAGCCCAAGTGTTGTGAAATCTAGTAACCCAAACGTAATTATGAAAAGAAATGAACATGCTCTTGAAAAAGGGGGCAGAAAAAGCTCTGACATCTCAGAGGCAAGAGAGACACAGGGTACCAATAGAGTTCATTTATAATGGGTCCTGATGGTCTCTGGACACTTCCTATTTGAGCAGTACTAAAAACTTAAAATTTTATGATTATAAGTGGGACTTAAACGAAGTGCCTTTCCCGCAAGGCAACCACTATTATTTGCCAGAAACCTCACCCTATTCAAAAAAGGTGTCAGACAACTAGTAACAAATTCTCCAGTATCAAATGGGAAGTGAGGCCAGCTAGGAGACACTTTTTGCAAAGAAAACGAGTTCAAGCCTAAAGCTCCCTAAAACTTTTGCAAAGAAATAGATTCAAATTTAAAGCTCCCTAAAACTTTGAGAGCACTTGCACCTTTCAGATTTCTATGCCACTACCCCATGTTCAAAATAATCCCAACCACAGGACCCTTGGCTCCTGCCACAAATAGGAAGGTGTTTAAGGTTTGTTGAGATTTTAAGTGATATGGAGACAAAGAGGAAAATGAACTGAAGAGATTATCTCAGGAACATCCAGACAATGTTGTACTTCTTTAAAAAAAAAAAAAAAAAATCCAGGAATCTTAGTTAAGATCCTGGAACAATCTGGTCATCTGCATTTTAAATCTAATTTGCATGAACAGGATGGGAAGTATTTTCCAAATCCTTAATTCACAACACCCTGCACACCTGGGCCTTGAAGCACAGCTGTAAAATCTGAAAGACAAAGGCTCTCTTTACTTCCCACTACAATGGCAACCATGGTTTCAGTTCTAATGTGATCCTAAGAACCACCTATGTGCCAAAACCAGCAAGGTTAGATTCAAGCCACCTGACTTGGTATTGCAAACACATATGCAAGCAGACCCAAGTCAAACTCATGTCAGTGTGGCTTGGGGGACAACCACGTTTGGTGTCCTATGGTAACTGGCCTTGCTTCTGAATGCTGTCATGCACAGAGCCTGTTTGCCTTCCCAACGGCAACCCCAACGGGCCATCACTTACTCTCAGAACGTGTAAGCCAGCAATATTTTGTGCTCACTGTGCTCAAATTTTTTGCCACAGGTAAGCATCGAAGGTAAACTCACAGCTCAGAAGCTGTTTTGAGAGCCGTGCTCTAAAAAATAATTTCAAAGAAAGCAAACAGCTAAGTTCTAAGAAGTTCAACCTCTAAGGTTCTGGGAAGTGGGAATAAGGCTTGGCAGTGCTTGGTGCTATTTATGAATGTGCTGGTTGGACTGATCTCGGCGACGTAATGGGATGGGAGACCTGATTCGGGTTTGACTACTACAACTATACATTATTGTGCTGAATCAGTTACACTCAGGCCCCAGGAATGAACCTATTTTCCCCAGTCTCGGTTCCATTCTGTTTACTGTATTCATATTATATTAACATTCACTAATAAAAAGTTTTACTTTCCTTATGCTAGGCCTAGGATCAACTCCAAAATTAGACATACTGTTTACCAAAGGAAAAAAAAAATGTCCCATAAAGCCACAGGTCCCCTGCTATCTCAAAACCCACAGCCTGAAACTGTTTGAACTAGCTGCAGTAAATCTCATTCATGAGGTTATAAACTAGCTCAAAGCATTTTCGAGACACAATGGACTTAGAGAGTGTGAACTTGGTGAAACTGTAAGATATTACAGAGAGAGAGACTTTCTCCTCTAAAGACTCTGTGAATCATAATCAGGAATATAAACTGTTACAAATATCCTTACAGAATTTTCAAAATAAAACTAATAATTTAAACTGAGAAATCTGAAGTCTAGGGGGAAAAAAACTTGACCTTTAATGAAAAAATAACTTTGTAAATATTTTTCAAAGGATAGCTGTCTTGTACTGCATACTATGTACTACTAGAAATCACACCGCTCACATCTTAAAATCTAATCAGTGTAATAAAGTCTACTGAAGCTCAAAATACTCATTTTGGTATTTATTGATCATTAAATATGTAAGTAAAAGAGAACAGACAGCAACTTAAAGGTATTTATGCCATGTGAAGTGTCACCCCTGGGCAACAGAAAGCCTAAAAAACAACCAGTAGCGTTTTGCTCCAAAAATTAAAGGGCAAGGCAAAGTAGATCTTGTGATCACAGAGAGTGTAAATAAGACACTTGGTCCTCTCCCAGGAGCATTTCAGAACTAAGTGCCTTCCTCACAACGGCACCGACACATGGCACTGGTAATCACTCTTCCAACAGGTGAACACTTCAGTTATTCTGATTCTGTCCGCTTGATTCTATTAAAACGAAACAAAAATATTACCTTTATGTATGGGGGGAAAAATCCAATTCAGACTGCCTCAGCTAAATAAAATATTACCTCAGGGCTATACAGGGCTCTTTTTCCCACTACTTAACACAGTCACTGTTTGTGCTTAAAACCCCTCCTATGGCCACTGATTTTCACTAAGTCAGTGAATTCCACAGAAGCAGCAGATATTGAAGAGAAAACCTAACTGTACCTATAGAGTCCTGGCCAGTTTCAGTACTTCGTAATACTTGCTCATGCAAAACTGTGGCCAGTGGGCCAAGTTAAGAATCTGTGCTCATTTGAGAGGGAGAGGATCTTCATGTTATAAAGCAACTAGCTTCTCTTCTTCCCCTACCAAAGACACGTTTCCAGACCACATTTTCTTCGATGAAGCCACAGGTGTTGGTTAAAGCTTGTGCTGCCAATTTTCTCTTTTTAGAATAGAAACACATGCCTGAGGTTACTGCTGTGCCTCTTCTGTGTTCTAGAAAAATGTCCAATTAGTCAACTGAAAAGCAGAGTTTTCAAGCTAGGCCTTTTCTGGAAGGTACTAATAGTTCCACAGAGATGCTCATTACTGATAACTGGACAGGATTTGACTCATGGACCAGAATTTTTAGACGTAAAAGAGGGCTATTCTACCAAGTTTACAGAAGTCTAAGGTCTTTTTTTTCCTTGCCAAATCTCCTGTAAGAAGTGTCCTACTAAGTTCTGATAGGTCAAAATCCTGCTGGCACACACACTCACACAGAAAGAGCCTCTTCTGGGTGAAACAAAGTCTGCTTAAATTGGCCAAGCCCCTGGCACCCTCTCTTGAAGCAGCACTACTCCAAAAACTAATTTGCACCATTTATGGAGGAGAAACTCTTCAGGGTGGGCTCCACCCCACTGGATCGTCAAGGCCAATGGCGCCCTAGGGAACAGGCAGGAAGGGGTCTGGAACATAGCTCCATACAATGCCAAGCAGGCGGAAAAGGACAAACTCCCAGACCTCCAAAAGCTCTCCAAGCCCTCTAACTTCCTTCTGCCTGGGGCTGGAGACAAGTCAGGCCACTAAAGTCCGCAGGGATCAGGAGGCAGCTAAGCACACACTCACACTCATAAATAATGCAAATGGAAGACCAAAGCCAAGAGTCACCTTCATTCATTACTCAAAGAACTGGATTACAGGAGAGGAAAAAAGAAATACCCACAGACCCCAAACGGACTTCCCTGCACTCTGCTCCAGACGTTTCCCACCCTACACCCACAAGGATACACGAACACTCACCTCCAGCCTCTTCACTCATTCTCTTCTAGATTTCCACTGACCCTCACCATCACCCTGCCGACCCGTGCTCGTTCACATACAGCCCCCACGACCCGCGCTCGCTTAGCTCCAGACCCAACACTCGCTCTCGCCCACCTCCAGCGCCCACGACTCACACTCGCCCACGTCCGGCCCACAACACTTACACTCGCTCAGCCTCAGACCCTCACGACTCACTATCGCTCACTTCCAGATCCTCAGAAGACACCCGAGCTCACCTGCAAACATTCAAGACCCATGCCCGCTTACCTATAGACCCCAAGACGCGCACTTTTCTCCTCCAGACTCTCATGCACGCTTTCCTCGTCCCTATCTCCCACGCTAACAGTCTCCCAGCCCACACAGTACCCAACGCGCACCCCTTCCCAGGTATGAACCTCCGCCGCCCGCTCCCCAGTGACAGCGCCCGGGGGGCGCAAGGAGGCGGAAAGGGCAACACTCACAAGCTCCGGGTCCAAGCCGGCAGGTCCTCCGGTAGCGCCAACAGCCCGCGCCCGCCGCCGACCCGAGA